AATTTAATTCAACAAGCTATAGTTTCTTTCTTCACAAATATAGCTGCTTGTTTCGAACTTCTATATCGATGCAATAAAGGCCTAATGTATTTTTGTGCTTATAAGCTTCGAGTATAGACATATAGTTATTATTTCCTTTCTAGTCTCTCAATGTGGTATGATCGTAATGCTCTTAAAACTTCAGCACGACATATAAGGAATACTATTGTAAAGCTTTATGGTAAGCTCTACCCTATGTCAAGTGGCAGAAGAATTCTCACCCCTACTTAGAAGTGTGAATGTTGCCAAAACTGAAATCAATAACTGCACCCTTCCCAAAAGGCCATAAGATCCCTGCCAAACAGAAGAAATGAAGTTAATCGTCATTACACTTTATCCAGCACAACCCTTTACTTGGCTAAAAAAGCTAATCAGTTTTGAGGTTGCATCACATCATAAAGCACATGTTTGCAATATTAAAATCATATAGGATCCATGCATCTTTCAGCACTATCTTTTCAAGCTTTGTGCAGTTCAATCATCTCATACTATGCCGACAATACTTCAAGGAACCAGCTTTGTTGAATATTAACCTTGAGAGTGTCTACTTTAATGAAACATATCAAAAAACTAAGAAGTCAAAAATCAAAGAAGTGACTTAAATTCAGGACCTATCTTATATCGTCAAATAAATTGGATTTGAAATTTTTAAAAGAAATAATTTGTTTATTTTTGAAATGAGCAGAAAACACTAGCTATATCATGCCTTTCCTCAATAGTCCTCCTATATTATTGGAGGTCTTGAATGTAAATATCTCTCGATGTGTCAATTTTAAGTGCTTTTCAAGACTCTATTTGTAGCTTGCTCCAAATAGAGAGCTAATTTCATATTGCTGGAAATTGGAATAAACCCTCAGAGGTCCTCTAATTTGGTAAAAATGAAAGAACGAACTTATTTGTCTTTACATTACTGATTACAATTCATTTTTCAGGTTATTTCAGCAGTCTATTCTCTTTTAGAGCTTCTTCGTTCAAATGATGATGAGGTGCTAACAAATGTATGTTATGCACTTTCTTACTGTATTGATGGTATATATGGCATTATCCAACACCACGATAACTTCAGTCTAATTTATGACCGGCTGGTTGGACTCCTCCGGTGAGTAGAATGTTTTAGTTTCCTCATTTAACCTACTTTTTCATATCTAACTTATGGTTGAATCTGATATGTACGTCAATTGATGTTTCAGGCACGAGTCTTGTTCAGTGATAATCCCCGTCCTCAAAATAGTTGTAGGTATTGTTGAAAGAGAGGCG